CCACGACCACACTGACCAGCACCTCCATGGGGTCCACAACCACATCGGACGGCACCTCCACAGGGCCCTCGACCACACTGATCAGCACCTCCATGGGGTCCACGACCACACAGACCAGCACCTCCACAGGAACGGAAACCACAGCTACTTCAACAGGGCCTAAAGAAACACCAACCAGCGCCTCCACAGGGTCCACGACCACACTGACCAGCACCTCCATGGGGTCCACAACCACATCGGACGGCACCTCCACAGGGCCCTCGACCACACTGATCAGCACCTCCATGGGGTCCACGACCACACAGACCAGCACCTCCACAGGAACGGAAACCACAGCTACTTCAACAGGGCCTAAAGAAACACCAACCAGCGCCTCCACAGGGCCCACGACCACACTGACCAGCACCTCCATGGGGTCCACAACCACACCGGACGGCACCTCCACAGGGCCCTCGACCACACGGCCCAGCACCTCCATGGGGTCCACAACCACACCGGATGGCACCTCCACAGGGCCCATGGTGACACCGACCAGCACTTCCACAGGGCTCACAGCCACAACTACCAGCGCCTCAACAGAGCCTACAGCCACAGCTACCGGCACCTCCTCAGGGCCCACATTGACACTGACTGGCACCTCCACAGACACCAAGACCACAGATACCGCCACCTCCACAGGCACCACGGCCACAGCTTCCAGCACCTCCACAGGGCCCACGGTGACACCAACCAGCACTTCCACAAGGACCACAGCCACAGCTACCAGCACCTCCATAGTGCCCACGGTGACACAGACCGGCACCTCCACAGACACCAAGACCACAGCTACCGGCACCTCCACCGGCACCTCCCCAGGGCCAACCAGCACTTCCACAGGTCCCATGGCCACAGCTACCGGCACCTCCACAAGGCCCACAGCCACAGGTACCAGCACCTCCACAGGCACCTCTGCAGGGCTGACCAGCACCTCCACAGGTCCCACGGCCACAGCAACCGGCACCTCCACAGGGCCCATGGTCACAATGACCGGCACCTCTGCAGGGCCCACGGTGGCACCAACAGGTACCTCCACAGGGCCCACAGCCACAGCTACCGGCACCTCCACAGGCATCTCCACAGGGCCAACTAGCACCTCCACAGGGCCCACTGTGACACCGAGCAGCACCTCCACAGACACCAAGACCACCGATACAGCCACCTCCACAGGCCCCATGGGCACAGCTACCGGCATGTCCACAGGGGCCACGGTCACACCGACTGGCACATTCACAGACACCAAGACCACAGATACTGCCACCTCCGCAGGCACCTCTGCAGGGCCGACCAGCACCTCCACAAGTCCCGCGGCCACAGCTACCGGCACCTCCACAGGGCCCACGGTGACACCGACTGGCACTTCCACAAGACCCACAGCCACAGCTACCGGCACCTCAACAGGGGCCATGGTCACACCAACTGGCACCTCCACAGACACCAAGACCACAGCTTTCGACACCTCCACAGGCACCTCCGCAGGGCCGACCAGCACCTCCACAGGACCCATGGCCACAGCTACCGGCACCTCCACAGGGCCCACGGTGACACCAACCAGCACTTCCACAGGGCCCACAGCCACAGCTACGAGCACCTCAACAGAGCCCACGGCCACAGCTACCACCACCTCCACAGGCACCTCCGCAGGGCCGACCAGCACCTCCACAGGACCCATGGCCACAGCTACCGGCACCTCCACAGGGCCCACGATGACACCAACCAGCACCTCCACAGGGCCCACAGCCACAGCTACCGGCACCTCCACAGGGCTCACGGTCACACCGACCGGCACCTCCACAGACACCAAGACCACAGCTACCGGCACCTCCACCGGCACCTCCGCAGGGCTGACCAGCACCTCCACAGGTCCCATGGCCACAGCTACCAGCACCTCCACAGGGCACACGGTGATACCGACCAGCACTTCCACAGGGCCCACAGCCACAGCTACCGGCACCTTGACACACCCTACAGCCACAGCTACCGACACCTCCACAGGGCCCACAGTGACACCGACCGGCACCTCCACAGATACCAAGACCACAGATACAGCCACCTCCACAGGCCCCACGGCCACAGCTACCGGCACGTCAACAGGGCCCATGGTCACACTGACCGGCACCTCCGCAGACACCAAGACCACAGCTACTGGCACCTCCACAGGCACCTCAGCAGGGCCGACCAGCACCTTCACAGGTCCCACGGCCACAGCTACCAGCACCTCGACACAGCCTACGGCCACAGCTACAGACACTTCCACAGGGCCCACGGTGACACTCACCGGGACCTCCACAGACACCAAGACCACAGATACAGCCACTTCAACAGGCCCCATGGCCACAGCTACTGGCATGTCCACAGGGCCCACGGTGACACCGACCGGCACCTCCACAGACACCAAAACCACAGCTACCAGCACCTCCGCAGGGCCAACCAGCATCTCCACAGGTCCCACGGCCACAGCTACCAGCACCTCCACTGGGCCCACGGTGACACCAACCGGAAAATCCACAGGGGCCACAGCCACAGCCACAGCTTCCAGAACCTCAGCAGAGCCTATGGCCACAACTACTGACACCTCCACAGGGCCCACGTTGACATCAACCGGCACCTCCACAGGGCCGACAGCCACAGCTACCGGCACCTCCACAGGCATCTCCACAGGGCCGACCAGCACCTCCACAGGGCCCACAGCCACAGCTACCAGGACCTCGACAGAGCCTACGGCCACAGCTACCAACACCTCCACAGGGCCCACTGTGACACCGACCGACACGTCCACAGACACCAAGACCACAGATACAGCCACCTCCACAGGCCCCATGGCCACAGCTACCAGCACGTCCACAGGGCCCACGGTGACACTGACTGGCACCTTCACAGACACCAAGACCACAGATGCCACCACCTCCGCAGGCACCTCCGCAGGGCCTACCAGCCCCTCCACAGGTCCCACGGCCACAGCTACCAGCATGTCCACAGGGCCCATGGTGACAGCGACCGGCACTTCCACAAGGCCCACAGCCACAGCTACCGGCACATCCACAGGGCCCACAACAACACCGACTGGCACCTCCACAGGGACCATGGCCACATCGACCACCATCTCCACAGGGACTGCAGCCACACTGACCAGCACCTCCCCAGGGACCATGCCCACAGCTCCTGGGACATACACATGGCCGACAGCCAGAACAACTGGTGCCTCCTCAGAGACCATGGCCACAGCTACCGGGACCTCGTCAGAGCTCACTGCCACATCTACTGGCACCACCTCACAGCCCACGGCCACAACTCTCGGGACCTCCTCAGGGCCCACAGACATGGCTGCGACCAGCAACACAGAGCCTATGACCACAGCCACCCTGAGCACAAAACCCATTCCCACTGGCAGTGCTAACATCATGACCTCCCCTAGCATTACCATTACCCTGACCACACCTATCACCCCCTCCACCACAATCACTGCCACTACCCTTGCCAGCACAATGACCATAACAACTGCCCCAACCA